CTCGACAGGCGCAGTTCAACGCTGACCTCAAAGCTGCTGCCAAGTAAACCACCCAGGGGCGGGCGGTAGAGCAAGGGGACAGTGCAGTACAGCTGTAGTGCCCCGTGACCGGAAAAGGGACATCTACACTTTTGCGGAAAAGGGACAATCTACACTACTATATTAGTGTCTCCGGTCGATCTGTCAGAGTAAATACTCGCAAAGGGCGTCAATCTGTGCAGGCATTGGTTAATGGTCTGACATGTGTCAGAGTGATCTGTTTGCTTGGATGCGGGACTCCGGTCCTCTTTGACCGGGTACCGGCATGGTACCGAGCTACTTCCCGGGGAACTCTCAGTTTTCCCGGTGACACTGCGCACTGCACAGTCACTGCCTTTTCAGTCACAGTCACAGTTACAGGCACGGTCTAGGTACCCAGGGCAGTTCCAGTGTCAAGAGTCACAGTATGAGTCACAATTGGTTTCCGGCAGGTTAAAAACGCCACTGTTTGCGATCATAATTAAGGTTTAATACTGTCTCAGTCTCAGTCACAGTCACAGTCTCAACCACAGTCACAGTGTCAATTATGAAATCAAAGTTACAGTCACCGTCACCGGATAACCGTATTAGGTAGCTTCAAAAGATTCAAACCTGATTGACACAGGAAGGTTTGGCTGTCGTCCAGCTACCCGGCCGGCGATAGCAAGTGCCTGGATGACCGCTCTGCAGGTGTGGTACCTACCGGCCAGCTTCATAGATCTTTTCATTTATGGTCGCGGCACGGGAGGGTGTTAACACAGAAGAATTTCCGGAGACACTAATATATTAGTGTACTTTGTCCTACTTGCGCCACTGCCAGCCTGCCCGGCCTCCATGCAGGGTCTGCCCAGTGCCTACGTTACAAATACCGGTAGTAGGCACCTGGCAGACCCTCTCTGCCACTCACAGTATAGGTAGGCAGGTAGGTAGGTACGGTAGGTATTTTGCTCAACCGGTTCAGAGACCAGAATCTCCAACTCGACTTTGTTTCCCCCAAAACTTGAAAGAAGGTTCAGAAAGGACGAAGCTAGGTAGGTAGAATCGAGCAACTGGCACGGTTGCTAACGCCCCTGGAAAAATCAGTGGTTCACGGGGCAAGGTGGCCAGGCGGCTGCGTTGTTATCCTGCTCTTCAGCTGCTCAAGCAGAAAACAGTCTCCAGTACTTTACGAATTCAAATGATGATGGCCTATCTTTCTCTGGCGTTTCTTGCGTCTGTTTGGTGCTCATCGGTGATGGCAGCAGGTGAGGAGAACCTGATTTGCAGTCACTAATCTACATTTAGTAATCCTAGCATCCACTGCTTGAGCAGACGTGTCATCCCGTCAGATTATTATGCAGCTTTGGTATCACCTCATGGATTCTGCTGAAGCGCTCACTCGCTCTGCTTTGAGAAACAGGGCTGTAGAATTCTGCAGATTCTCAGCACATATTTCGTGTGCGCAAATTCTGCCAATCGCGGTTTGAACTCAGTTTGTAGTCGATAGTACAGATGACCAGACCGGAAGTTTGTCTTAACTTTTCAAAGCTGGGATACTCTCTTTAGAGCTGTTTTTGGAGCAGCTTCCTTCCTGTCTTTTTCAAGCCACCACCAAATCATGCGCTGCTAGGAGAATGTCTGTCGATGTGGCTCTGATCATCAAGATACACAATAAACATCCAAAAGCAGGCTCATGATATGCAAAGCCACTATTCTTGGGAAGCTTCACAGGTCCATTCCGAAGTGCGATGGATAAACTAGCTCTCTTCGGCTCAATCAGACCAAAGTCCCTCTTTCATGACAGACCTCCTCTTCAATGGGGACTTTGAGTTACCCAACTACCCCCAGCTCAACAATGTTGGGGTGGGGAACCCTTCCATCTTGGGATGGACCGTCACGGAGGGGACTGTAGACTTGAGCGGTGGAGTCAACACCCTCTACGGGTGGGCCACCTATACTGGGAACCACAGCCTGGACCTGAATGGGGTGAACGCGGGGACAATACAGGCAAGCTGCCCTGCAGTCTGCAGATTTAGATATATGTACCCCACGTTTTTTTCGGGTAGGCTGGGCCAGTTTGTAGAAGGATTCCCTTACATACAAGAGTTCTCACTCTCAGCATATCGAATAGTTGAGAAGCGGATCAACTTTCACAAGAGTCCTCACCTGACTGCAGTAAGACGGGGAGAAGAGTGAGCTATATTTGCGTGTCATGCTAGCTCTTTCCAGCATCTTTCTGGTATGCAGATTGAGATCCTGGTTTCAACGTCAAAGGTGTTCCCTGCCACCCAGGGTGCCTTACTGGGGTCAACCCACAAGCTTTTGGTTGATTCCGGACCTGGGCTGGAATAAGACTTTGTCAGGCTGAACGATGAATTATCATTTGTCGCTTGTTTGTCATGCCTAGTAAGGGCTCTGCTCTTCCCAGCCGTGCCTGCTTAGATTTCCTTCTGCCCTTTCTCCTCAAGCTATATTGAAGTTCTCTGTTCTGTGCGTAATGCGCTCCTGTTTCATCGATTTGCAGCAATCGGTGACCACCGTTCCGGGAGCCTCGTATACCCTCAGTTTCGCACTGGCTGGCAACCCCTTCCAATCCCCCTCAAACGGGCCTCCAATCAAAGTACTCAACATGTCAATCCTGGACACTTCCGTGCCGGGAGTCGTCACTGTGATTCAATCCCAGCAGTTTAAGTTTGACGTCAGTGACAGCACAGTTCTCTCCATGAATTACAAGCTCAAGAGCCAGCCGGTTGTGGCCTTCGGCAAAAACACCACGATCCGATTTGCATCGGACAGTCAAGTGGGGAATGGCGGACCATGCTTGGACTCAGTAACGTTTTGTCAAGGAACGGGTGAGCTGACTTTGTTGCCTCCATGCCGCTGCTTGAAGATGATTTGCCTAACGAACAGTTTGAATATCTGAGATTGAACGTAGATTGTGAGTAAAGCTTTTGTGTGCTGCATGGACTCTGCTCTTGGCATTGCTGTGGAGAGCATTCCTGCAGGCCAGTGCCCGGAAAGGATGTGCACTTGGGGCCTTTTTTGAATCGTAGATGGAACTTTAGTACTCTCAAAGTCTCTGGTCAACAAAGACCAGGAGATCCAGAATGACAAACTCGTGATCAACAATGACAGTTGATCTCGTCTGTTAGCGTGCTTTGCCTGTCCTAAGAAACACGCCATCTGTTTACAAGCGGCCTTGTTCTTTTCCTTCTTGCTTAAGTATGGGCTTGTGGCTGCTTCAAGTGCTCTTAGGTCGTTCGATGCTGATGTGCCCTTTCCTTTTCCAATGCAGACCCACCAAACCCGAACTCCTTCAATACCTGCCCAGGTAAGAATCACAAGCAGACTGCTCGAGCCGGCCCCAAGAGTTTGTCAGCTCTACAGTACAGGACACATGAAAATAAAGTCTTGCCCATGCCGTTTCCAGGGTAGGGGCTTCCATGAGCCAGAGCCTTTGTTACCCGCTAAGTTTTGAGTAGCCTAGTTTCCGAAAGGCCAAAAGCTGACCCTCGAGCGAGCAGATTTTTAGATCACCCCTTGGCAGTTTTTACTCTCTCTGCTAATTTCTGCAATCTGCTGACCCCACTAAGTGATGCAGACACCAAAAAAATGCAGACACCAGTGCTTGACAGAGCGGAGTTTTTTTTGCAACAAAATGGACAGGACACAGCGCACAAGACCAACACCGGTCTGCTTCCGATTGTATGTCTGTAGTGACGAATCAAATTCACTCTCTCCCTAGCACGTTTTCGCCCTTTTCTCTGATTCTCCATACGCTTCCCATGTGACACAAATATCTACATTAGTTGGATCCGCAGTCATCCCCGCTAAGGAGCCTATGAGAGTCCCTTCTCTTCACATCCTTCTGTACCTGTCTGTGCAAACCACTCCTGGCCCCACGTCTCGACTTTCCTTCGCCAAATTCGGTTTCACCAACCCGGAGAGCCTACCAAACCGTCTTTGGGGCTGCTCTATTTCTTTTCAGGCTCCAAAACTAAAGTGGTTAGCAGGCTTGAATCCTGATTCTAAAGTCTTTGTTTTATTCAGGCCCGCCGGCTCCCCCGCCCCCAGCAGCACTGAGTTCCGCGTCCTCCTCTTCCTCCAACTCACCCTCACGCACCGAAATCGCCGCCATAGTCGGCGGCGTTGGGGGGGGCATCCTCGTCGCCGTTTGCGTGCTGTCCCTCCTGCTGTTCTGCTTTTGGCAGAGGCGCCTAAAAGCTATCCCCAAGAGCTTTGACGAGGAGAACCCCACTCCCGCGTTCTCCGGGGCTCAATCCTACAAGTCCTGGGGGCCCGGACCTCTGTCACCCTCGGGGGGGCCCTACTCGCTCGCCACACTGCGTGCCGCGACGGCCGACTTCAGCGAGGAGAGCGTCATCGGGCGTGGCTCCTTCGGAGTGGTCCACGTGGCACTCCTGCCGGACGGCACCACGGTCGCCGTGAAGCGCCTGGAGAAGCTCCCCGGGCGGCACGACTTTGAGGACCGCGCGTGGCGCGCGGAGGTGGAGGCGCTCGGGAACGTGCGGCACCGGAACCTGGTACCGCTCCTGGGGGTTTGTACCGAGGAGGGGCAGAGTTTGCTCGTTTTTGAATATTTTACTCTCGGGAGTTTGGGAGAAAACCTGCACAAGGTGAAGCCCGACGCGCCGCCGCTCAGTTGGGCGGAGCGCCTGAGCATCGCGCGCGACGTGGCGCGCGGGCTCGCGTACCTGCACAATGACATCCGCCCGCCGATGCTGCACCGCGACATCAAGAGCGCCAACATCCTGCTGATCGACCGCGAGGGGGGCCTCCAGGTACGATCATACACTGTACTTGTAACAAGGCAGTGATGGGAATGACGCAGAGGAGACCCTTCGTCAACCTTCTCTAGCTTCTGAGCAGGAAATGACATGCACCGTACCCCAGGCCACCCTAGACCCCATGTGTAACCCACCTTTCCCTGTCGAAACCCTTACCGGAAATAAACGTTGTCATCGATTGAAAGTACCCTTTTCTTCAGGCGTGCATTGCGGACTTCGGCCTCGCGCACCTCGTCCTCGACGCGGGCGCCAACACCTCGACCATGGTCAAGGGTACCGTCCCGTACATGGCCCCGGAGTACCTGCACGGGGGGCCCCAGTACCTGACGCCCAAGTGCGACGTGTACAGTTTCGGCATTCTGTTGCTCGAGCTCGTCAGCGGACGCATGGTCGTCCAACACCACCCGGACGGGTCCGTCGAGGTCCTGTCCGAAGTCGCCGCGGAGCTGTACAAACAGGATAGAGAGTTAGAGCTCCTCGACCCGGCACTTAGGGGCGAGTTCGATGCACAGGAGGCGATGTTGTGTATCCGCGTAGCGCTCGCGTGCACGCAGAGGCGGCCGTCGGCACGGCCCGACATGGCGCAAGTGGGGCTCCAGCTGGCGAAAAACGAGTGGGACGGGAGCATCTCGCTGTCCGACGGGTCGACTGGGTCCGGTTCCTTCGTCACAACGGGCGGAAGGGCGGGCAGCGGACTGGGGTCCGGGTCGCTGCCGGGAGATATGAGCAAGGACCCGATCCCCTGGCTGGTTGCGTCGCAGTCTCTTACGGCCAGCATGTAGAAGCTCACGCGTGTGTTGTTTCGGTCCCGCTTGAGTGCGGTTTTTCGCGGCAATGATGAAGGGTCGGGTGCACGATTACAGACTCGACAGCATGCAAGATTCGACAGCATGCAGGTGTCTCGACAACAAAATAGATGCCGTGTTGAAACACCGATATCAGGTGGTATAGGTCGCATTGCCCGCTAAGGACAGGTAGCTTGTCATCAGACGAGCTCTAGAGATCTAAATTAGGACTTTCTGTCGAATCGGCCGCTCCGAGCTTTGACAGTAGCTTGTTTGTCGATTGCATTCGCCACAAAGCGCTCGAAGCTAGCACGTCAAATCCGGGTCAGTTCCTGAAGGGCTTTGGCCTATTAGAAACATACTTGTAGGGGTAGATTTTGTGTGTCGCTTGGAGACTTGCACCGTCCACAAGACAATCCAGTTGCTTGCGCATTTACATGCACGTGAGGAGAGTAGCACAATTAGCCCGAACTGAGGAGGACGTACTCTAGGAGGCCTCGAGCTGGATTTGCAGGCGCGCACTAGGCAAAACTTAAGATGCTTTGCGGCAAATCATTGCATATCCATAAGGATCTGTTACTGATGGCAGACAAGTTCAAGCTAGTCGCGCCCGGTGGCCGTTCAAGTCGAGATTGCGGGACACCGAATTGGGATATCCGAAAATGACACGGACATTTAGTAATGATGGCCGCCGTGTCACCTGCCGCGGGAGCGTTTCCTTCGAATATATACATGCCGCGACTGCAGCACCTACAGTCTGCATGCACGTAAATTCATGCCAGCGCTCGCTGATTAGCAAGTGTGCTCGCGCTAAATGAATTCTGCGCTTCAGCTCTAGCTTCCTATCGGCAGACCAGTGTTGCAGCTAGCTGTAACATGCATGTCATGTGTGCCACATATTGCGATCGACTAGTGAAGCGTTGAACCTACTGATGCAATGCCCCCTGTAAAATTCCATCAATCTCTAGCATTCATAAGTGGAATGTTTATTGCTTTTTACGTCGAAAATACAGGTACTAAGCATGTGCCGCAACGGCGCGCCCGTCTAGCTTTGCCCTTAAAGAATGCTCGGTCCTTCAAACAGCCCTCAGTCGGACATACAGCCGGCGTATTTACGGGATTGTTTCGGTTGTCGGCCTTAGCTCTTATTCCAGCCGCGCCGCCTCAAGGCGTGCAAAGCAAGTTTGAAAGGTCGGCAGCAGAAAATTGTCAAGAAGTTCAACTGCATCTCTTAAGTCCACCCAACAATCGCGACGTTGCAGATGTGTATGTTGACATTTGTTTACAATCTCACTTAGCTTCTATGTCTTGCAGTGTCGCACTTCAAGATTGTTTGCCTGTCCGACTATACCATTTACTTTCAAAAAGTTTCGTGAAGTGTCGCTCCAGAGCGCCAGTACTATAGACAATCTGTCATGAGAACATCCGAGCGTACGTCTTCTTTTCGCTGTCCTTCCGCTGCTGAATCTTTTTTCGCACCTTGACGAGCTCCTCCTTGATGCTCACTGCACTCAAACATAACCCGGTAACATACTCTTCAAAGCACACCATAAGTGTGGTCTTCCTTCCAAGCCACTAGATCCCGATTGTAAGAACGTGCGACAAGAGCTAAGCACACCAGCCAAGCTCCGAACCATATCGGGCATGTGTTGCACATTCCGACAAAACTTTCGTTGAAGAGATGGAAGCAAGGAAAGAAGATCGTCCAGCCTTATAAAGCAAGAAAGATCAGCCGAACCGGGGCGGATGCAAAGCTCACGTCCCAGAACTTTCTGGAAACTATCGTTCTGACGAAAACAGTTAGAACGACCCAATTTTTGAAAAAATACATAAAACATAGCCATTCCACACAGATCGGCCAACAATCCGGTCGGAAACAAGGAGCAGCAACATTCCGGACTGGAAACTTGAACCATAGACCCAGCTTAGACCAGAGCGCAACCACCCCAACATTCACCTCCATCCAAAACAGGGCCTCACCGTCCGCTGGCGCGAGCTCAGCTGCTCTGGTCAGGTCCTGGAGGGCCTCGTCCAGCTCCGAGTTGGCGGCGCGCGCCTGGCCCCGCTTGTAGAGCGCTTTCACGTGGTCCGGCTGCTCGCTCAGGACGTACTCCGTGCTCCGGATCGCGTCCGCGGGGTCGCCGAGCCGCAGCTTGCACGACTGCGCGCGCTCGATCACAACGATTTAGGGACATTGAAGAAATCTCGGGCGCCAAAAACGCAGGGTTTGAGGGATTTCGTAGTCACGGGCGTTTGCAGCTTGAATGCTCCAAACCGCGTCTGCGGGGTTGCCCAACCGCAGCTCGTACGACTCCGCGTGCGAATGTGGGTTAGGAATGCGCAGAGGTTAGGGGTTTAGAAGCTAGGGGGGTTCGCGGAGCGGCGACTGCGCGAAGTATTGCGTCCGCGGGGTCGCCCAGCCGCAGCTTGCACGACTGCGCACAAAACGCGGGGTTTTAGGGATTTTCTAAGTAAGGGGTGTTAAAAAGGCGCGTCCGAATGGTTGAACGCTAAGTTCCGGGTTTAAGTAACTACGTCTTCGAATGCTCAGATGGTGTCCGGGGTCGCCCAGCCCCAGCTTGCGCGACTGCGCTCAAGAAATAGCACGAGTTCAGGGGTTTGAAAAGAAGTGCGGGCGTCAAAAACGCAGGGTTTGATTATTTTTGGAGTTGAGGGCGTTTGCATCTTCGAGTGCTCCGGATCGCGTCCGTGGTTGCCCAGCCGCACCTTGCACGACTGGGCGCGCACAAACGCAGAATTACAGGGTTTCAGTCGAAGCTACGGCGTTGAGATTCAACCGCGTCTTAGGGTCGCCCAGCTTGCTCGACTGCGGCGAGCGACTGAGCAGAAAGTAGGGTTGGGAAAATGGGTCGTTTGGATCGCGTCCGTGGGGTTGTTTAGCTGCAGCGCGCACAACTCCCCGCAGAATCGCAGGATTCTGAGGGCTTGGAAAATACGAGCGGTTGGATAGTCAACATTTCCGGGCCGCCTCCGCGAGTCGCCCGCCGCAGTTTGCACTGAATGCGGCCGGGGGTTGCGGGACAATAAATCATGAGCTTGTTCGGGCTTTGACGAAACATTGTGTTTAGATTGCCGGGTTTTGAGGCTGGGACTTGTATACATGTCGAACGCTAGCCGGTCAAGCTTTCTGCCGGCCGAATCGGTTCGACGATGAAAACCCTCGGGAGGAGGCAAGGAGAACCGCTGGGATTCCCACTGCTTTTGAAAAACGTGCAATGGTAGCGCGCAGCGAAAAGCAGACTCCTCGTCTCCTTCCAGCAGATGTGCGACAAGTCTACAGGTTGGGGGGGGATGATCATGTTTACAAGCTCGGCCAAACCGAAACAGATAAGAAGTCGGTTCGCAAAGCACGCGGGCTTACCGCCAGGTTGAGCAGGGTAGCATACCGCGCCTGCTTCAGCTTGATGCTGACGTCAGGGGACAGGCCGTCCTTCCGCCACGACTGGTCGAAGTATCTGGACAGACAGTGCAATCACTTGTAAGATGCCGAAGACCCAAAAGCCACTCTGTCTTCGTTTGACGACTACTCTTCGTGCAGCGCTGCTAGGCGCTTGCCGCTCGCGCCCGTTTGAAGACGCGGAGCGATCCCGCGCCTTCTCCTTCTTCAAAGATTTGACGCATCACATAAGCTTCCTGGTATGACGTGGCCAGGACGATCAGTGCCAGGACGATCAGTGTGATTCCCGGCGCCGCATGCCACTTCCGTACTGCTTCACTCATTCGTTGCGCCCGTCTGTTCCTCTTCTGGATGCAACCCCTTCTCTTTTCTTGCGGAGTGTGCAGAACGGATCACCCTTCTCTTCTCTTGCGGAATTTCAAAAGGGTCAATGCCGGGCGGCCTGTTCCCCTTGCCGGTCCCTCACCTGAGCGCCTTCTGGTACTTGCGGTGCGCCTGCATGAACTCCCCCTTTTTGAAGTACCCGTTGCCGATGCTTCGGATCGCCTCCTGCGCCTCCAGCCACCACTCGACGTCCTGGGGCGGGTCGTACATGTCCGCCGGCCAGTCGTAAAACTCGTCGCCGTCGCCCAGTAGGCCCGTAACCACCATCGGATCCCCCTGAACCGGAAACGACAGGAAGCGCTCCTTCATCCCGAACCTTTTTAGGATCATTCTTCTATCACTGGACCTGCGAGCTTGAAGCCCAGTCGTTAGGCCCATGATTACCATCGGAGGCATTTGACAGAGTCAATCCTGTAGAACTTGCTTCCGTCTTTCTTCGTTTCTTCCTGGGGTCTAATTTCTTTCATTCTGCGAGCGCATGCATTCGTAAAACTGGTCGAGCTCCCTCAACAGGCTCCGTGACCAACATTGGCTTCCCCTGGCAGTAAGAGCCGAAGACTGTGTCCACTTGTCTCACAGCCCGCCCTCTCCATTGACAACCTCAGGAGTACCTCTGAAGTTCAGTAACGAAGAGCAGCATTCTAATGACCGTCAGCTCTTCTTCTCCGAAAAGAAGTCGGCACTCGTTTTACAATATTTATTTGCGGAAATCGCGTTGCGGATGAGCCGATTGACAGATACTACCGTGGTGCCATCAGAGTTCATCGCAAAAGAGTGGCAACTGATGTATGGTATGACCCCGACCGTGATTTTCTTCTTGAAAGGGGGTTGCTACTTATGCGGCCACTCGCACGCAAGCTCTAATTGTCTGACCTCCTTGATACACGTCCGGAGACTTTCCTATCAATTGAGAAATCTCACAAGGTCGACTCGGAATTCATTGAATGAATTCAAAGGGTTAGTATCGCTGCTTTTACAACACCCAATCGATATAAAGGGCGGCCTCATTTTCTTGCTCACTTGACGGAACTCTCCGCAGTCGGTGATACGGATCTCTTTCAGGGGCCGGTCCGCCTTCCCATCGGTCGGGAGGTCGCTGAGCACTTTGACCAGGCCATATCCGTGGATGACCTGCAGAAGAGCGGCACGTATGAGAACACGCGTCGACTCCTTCTGGATGAGTTGTCCCTTTCATGACCAGCTCGGGTTTGCCGTCTAGCTCGTCGATTCTCTAGCGCTCGGACAAGTCAAACCTGTCCCAGAACTCTGAGCGACCACTGTTTAGAATCAGGGGGACAATCCTCCCGGTGAGCTGGAACCGGCTCCTTAGGTAGCGGTTGCTCCCTTCAGCTCGCACCTGATGGCGGGAACAGAGAGCGGAGCCTCATGAGATTGCCTAAAACATCTGGCGGAACCGACTCCCCGCAGACAAGGTCCTTCAATAAAATCGACAAGTAAATTCTGGTGAGCGGTTTGTCCGAGATTCACTATGACCAGATTGTGGGTTTCGGTCCCTGGACATGATTCGTATCTTTGGAAACGCTGCGCCCAACGTGCCATGATATATGACCATCTCATCGAGATCTTGGACTATGTTCCTCACTCTGCCAAAGACGACGTGCTTCCCGTCCAGGTGCGGCGTCTTGGTGACGGTGATGAAGAACTGGGAGCCGTTCGTATTGGGCCCCGCGTTTGCCATCGACAGCAAGCCCTTCCGAGTGTGCTTGTACGCGAAGTTTTCGTCCTGCGGAACGGAACCAGAAACGCACAGCGTTTGTTAGAGCTGAGACTGCTTGAATGGCTTTGGACCGGAAAGTATTGTTGTGGGCACTCAAGTCAAGGGAGCTTTTGCCTGCCTAATTCGAGTCTCGTTTGTATCTCCGTTGTCTTGCCGTAAATGCAACGCCCGCAGGGTGCGCAGCTGTGCGCGGACTTGTCCTGACCCCAAATCAAACAGCAATTATTTATGCAATAGAGGATAGCGGATCACAGGCGCGTGTAATGAAGGATACGTCACTTCCTCGATTCAACAATCTCGGTTGCTGTCTCATGACTGGTTCGGTCGAGGACGGGTCAAGCATGGACTAAAACCGACAGAAAATGAAACGTCAGCGGCTCACCTCGAAAGTCCTGCCATAGATTGACTCGCCCCCGGTGCCGTCTCCTTTTGTGAAATCACCCCCCTGCAAAGAAGGCGCGAAATTTCGTCGATAGATCAGATTTTCCCGCTCAAAGGTGAGCAGACAGGACGTTTGACACGGAGGAATAGGAGAAATTGGAGCAGCAGGTGCCGTCGCGCTAGCAATGCGGGTCGAACCACTCACACCAAGAGAGCTTGTGACGCTCTAAATGATGCCAACCAAATGGTTTGCCTTGGCTGTTGAAACGCGGAAATGTTGGTTGGGCACAATTTATGCATTGCAGCGCTAGATGAGAGATTCAATGTGTACAGAAGGGACAAAGTCTTGCTCAATTTTGTACAAAACACAGCCGCACCTGGATCATGAACATGGGGATCGTTCGATGGAACGTGCTGCCTTTGAACCAAAGCGGCTTGCCGCTCTCTCCGATGCCCTTTTCGCCTGCAGTAGAAGCAGGATCAAATTAGATCCGGATACCCGAGCAGCTTCTTCTGTGACCGCCTGATTGCTCATTGAGAGACGGGGCCGCGGTCGGTACTTTGGGGAATTCGTTGATCCAAGCCTCCTTACAAATCATTCGTCTTCGTGTCAAAATAAAGGACCTTGCTTCATACGCTTGGTTTGAAGGACGTAAAAGCCCCGGACTCAAGCCCGCATCACAATCGGGTTTGCCCAGCCACAGTCAAAAATACTGTTCTTGGTGTAAGCGCTCCCTTGGAAGTCAAAACTGGAGGCACCCAGAAACCCATCTCCTGAAATCCCACGCTATTCAGCCATGCGTAACCAAAGACCAGGGGTGAAGTTCTCAAGCAGGGATGGATGCACTCAAAGACAGGGGTCAATAACATTAGAATCAGGTCACATGGACAACAATCCAGGGGACACATGAGAGGTCACAACGAGGCCTCACCCGTGCAGAGAGCCCGAAAGTTCTCCGCAGTCTTGGGAACCACGTCCGAGTACAGCTGGACCACAATCCTCCCCTCGGCAACCCCGTCGAGCGAAAGATCAAAGTAGCATCGTGGTCGATAGGGACGGTCCTTAGCTTCGCTCCGCTTCCGTCGTTGAAACTTTCGTTTCTGTGGGGGGGCTGAGGACGGCCCCGCCGAATCATCCGGCCGGAGCACCGGGGAAGGGCGATTGTCGGGGAGGGTGTAACGAGGCGCGGCAGCTTCTTCCTCAGACTCGTCAGACTGTTCCTGTAACCACGATTGGGACAGGATTATATTGCCTTACTTCAGCTCCTTCTGCTAGGTTTTGCGGGCGGAGCACCCTTGGGCCAAGTTCAATGACTGTCTGTGACAGACCTAATATTGACAAACGAGTCACAATCTACTTCCCTAGTCTGCTGATATGCAGTGGTATAGAGGCAAGAACTTGAAAGCAACCCGTGCCATTAACCAAGCATGCCAATGCACGTATGCAACCTGTCATCGACGCATGAAATTTGGCACCTGTCCAACGCCCTTGCCAGAGAGCAAGGATTCACAGAACAGAGTATTGCTGTCAGGGCAGAGACTCTGGGATGGCATTCAAATGACGTTGCTTGTAGAAACGTGGAAGTGAAGACAATGTGATCCCTTCAGGCACCACCACTTTGTATTAAACAAACATAACAAATGCAGCAATCTACCAGCTCAGAGAGTCATTGCTGCTTCCAATCTTAATGTGCAGCTCCAAAGGACAGCGGAGATTATACATACCCACTCATGTGCCTCCAGTTCTTCCATTTTCCTGGCAAGCATCTCTTCTTCGTCCCGCGAAACCACCTCCACCCCTTCCATCTTGAGTTACTCTGCTTATATTCTGAGAAGCCGCTCTATATGGTTGTAATCGCTCAATTGAGGAGCCCCAAAGCTGCGGTAGAAAAGCAAGAGCACCAATACGTTTCAGTCCGCTAAGAAACGTGGAAGAAACGTGGAAGCTGTGTTCTGCATGCAATGTGCTGAAAAATCATTGATAATCTATGCAAAGAAGCTAGTCCACACTTTTTGACGAACAAGTAAGATAGAAGAGGCACGTGCTCAATCAGTTGCCACCGCGGATGATTTGTTGTGTTTAACGCAGTGCCTTCGCATGTGCTTCTTTCAAAGTGGAAATGCAAGCTGTCTTACAGCGCCCGTTTGGTGCAAGGGGCCCTTCCCTGGTCGCTTGTCCCAGCGGGCAGCCTGCTTGAAGTAAGTGGATGCCTAACGCAAGCGAGGTAGCACGGGCGCTCAATACTCACACTTCGATCGCACTTTTGCTCATTGAAGCTAGACTGGACAGCATTGAACGCTAGAAACTAGCGACGCGAGCATCACCAGAACAATGGAAATACCATTGCCAGATGGTAAGTTCGACGAGACTCGATCCGGGATCCCCTCTTCAGCAGTGACGTGAGCGCAGCTTCCCGTTTCTCGGCAGTTGCCCGGTACAGACCTCCCGCCCTCAACTTTACCATCGAAACCGCGGAGACTGCCGCCCTCCGAGCACCCCCGCCTTTTCCTCTTTGGGCCCTGAGAGTATCGGCCCTAATTCCGGAAGTTCACAATTCCGGACGGGTAAAGCAAAAACCTTATTTCGGACATAACAGATTAGGTCGGTAAGTTGACACACGGTGTCCGGAATAGCGTGCGAACCATCCGGAATTGGAACTGGTGAAAGCCCCAGCGTGCTCGGTAGACTGCTTTGTTAGGTCCGGAATAAGGTTTTTGGTTTACCCGTCCGGAATTGCGAAATTCCGGAATTAGGGCCGATACTCATCACCTGTTTTCATCACCTGTGATCGACACGAACCGTATAATACTTGCTGGCGCACACCGAGTGTGCTATTCAGAATATGATATCAAATAATCAATGAGGCAGTCACGGTGCCATTCAGTGAATGGGGGCGAGGGTCAATGCTTCTAGAAGTTTTATCTTACTAGCTTCAGTGCTCAGAGAGCTAGTTCCGGATGTCAGAGTATGACGCGCGAAGCATCAGTCATCCTGTGAGTGTTCTGCCTAGCGGAGCGCGCTAGGGATCGTGGGAGGTGAGTTCCGCTTGGAAAGAAGAGATGGTTAGGAAGAACCTTTTCACAGTTCCTAAATTAATCATGTGTGCTGAAAGTTGGAATTGTACCTTTCAATGCTGTCGTTTCATCGGCTTCGAGAACCATTACCGATTGGTGGATAGTGGTCTCGCCCGCTCGCTTAATGGGTGGTGAACTGTTAAAGTGTAAGAACGTGGCAGGTTGTAGAATCAGCAGATCTTATCAAGGGCTTTGATTTTTTGCATCCGGCCATCGTTCCCTTTAATGATCAGTGACTTTCTGGTTGCTCAGCTGGTTGTGATCTTTTTATCTCTTATCAACGTTCGGTGGTCGTTTTTGAGGGCGTTGTCTGTGTCAGTTCAATCAAGCATCAAAGAACTCCTGTTGTCTTGCAGGCATCTATTGCTAAGATGTGGCACCTGACCACTGACTTTTGGTTGCTCAGCTGATTACTATCTTTCGGATACTTTATGCTCTTCAGGCCAGTATTGTATCCTGTCAGTTGAGCATCAAATATCTTTGGTTGTTTGCAGGCATCTATTGCTAAGATGTGGCGCGCTCGCTACTTAGGGCAGCACTGCCGGGACTCGAGCAAACTGCTCAAGCTGCTGAAGTTGCAAGAAGGAGAATTGCCGCAAGCTTTGAAACGCAGAGCTAGGGCAAAGTCAGAAGCACCACCGAAGCCACCAGCGGACCTGCCGCTGATGAAGGCTGCTACCGCAACAGCTCCCGAAATTCTTCACACCCCTTGCTGCGGGGGGCTGGCAAAGTCTGCACTCTCTCACCACCCCGCATCAGTGGTCCCACCTCGTCATCTAGTCTCCTCTAGGCATATTTTCTCATCCAGCAAAAGCAGTTTCCTGCGGCCGCACTCCGGCCTGTTCACTAGAAATGCTTCGCATCTGGTTCCGTTGCGAATAGCAGAGATCGAGAAAAGTGAGCCGGAAGGCAGCCCCCGAGTGGCCTTACATGGTGTTCGGCGACCCGTCCGGAAGGAGCCGCCGGATGACACCGCCGCAGAGCAGCAGGTGCGGCACAGGAGCAACCAGGCCGTGCGGCGTCAAGTAACTGTCCCAGTTTACCACGACTATGCACGCCTGTGGCGGCAGGGGTCGAGTGCTGAGAGAGATTGGCGGGAGGTGTTGCAGGGGGGAAATGCTGTTTGGACGCAGTATTGGCAGAAAAAGGAGGGGGACTGGGGCCGGTTCGAGGCCAAGTGGGGGAGCGCGAGGGAGGGGGTCAGAGGGGCTCTCGGGAAGGTGTTTGATGAGCGGGGCCTGGATGCGGAGCAGTTGGCTGAAGAAGAGGGGACGGCGGAACCTCTCAGTACAACCAACTGGCAAACGGAGGACCTCGAACGGGAGTCTGCTGCATCAGCAGACATGAGTGGGAACCGGTTACTCGTCGAAGAATTAGACTTGGAGCGGGCGGCATCGCTTTCGGATCTAGGCCAGGAAGGGGCACCGGAGACTGCTCCAGTCGACTTGGGGCGAGACTTCTCGGAAGATGGAGGGGTGGAAGTGAGTGTCGCAGAGGCCCCCCAGGAGCGATTGCGAGAGGGGCAAGAGTTGCGGGGGGATGGGGGGTTGGAATTGAGAGCCACAGAGCCCCTCGTGGAACGGCGAAGGGGACCGAAACCCAAGGCGACGGAAGAGAGGCAGCGCTACCGGATGCTGCGGCAGCGGCAGCACAAGATGGAGGCGAAATCTCTGGACACGGCAGTGAAGAAGTTCCAAGAAGAGTTGAACGAGGTAAGGATGGGGACTGGCTGGTTGAGCCCTGGATCCTGGTCTGGTCTCTCAATTAGGTCTGGGTCATATCCCGGTTTTGCTTTCCTTGCTCTTTTTATGGAAGATGCTGACTTGGTATCGCGATGTCTCTTGCCTAGACTGGACACAGTGTAAGCGAGCGCTTTGTTCTTAGGTTTTGAAGTGCCAATCGGTGATTGGGGCTGGGGGTTCTCCAAGGCTTGTACAGACCTGTTATGACAAGCTTTGCCTGATTGATTTGTCTGCGAAATTTGAGGAAGACAGAGACGTCGAGTGTCCTTAAGCTGTTGACTGCGGACTGCAGATGCTTCCAGTCCTGTCAGAACACATCCCACTTGGCAACAAGATGGAGATGAAATCCTGGGACTAGCGTCACCTGTATATCGTTCTCATTTCTGCTGGCCCTTGATTATGAAGACAGGTGAAAAGCGTGCCGGGTCACCAAGACAACGTTCCAGTACCTTTTGTTGATGATTGAAAGCCATCCAGACATTGAGCTTTTCTGTATGAATTTTGATCCTTATGCTTGTGAAGTTTCTATAGCATATTTGCTCCGGCTGTTACATTGATGAATAGATTGGACACGTGAGGTTGAAAACTGCGTTCGGGTGCGGAATTGATCGTCATCCTTGTAAGCTTTTTGGTTGCAAACTATACTTTTAGATAGATTCAAGGCGTCACTCATTTTCTCCTCAATTCTATTAACGCTCCGCTGATCTGACACCTTCCTTCTGTTGCACAGCGGCGAAAGCGCGGGGTAACGCTGGGCTCCGAAACCTCGCTCATGACCGAGCTTTTCGATCCGCTGGAGCGCGCGATAGACCGGGAGCGGAATGCGATCCTGAACGGGGAGCGTGGCATGGACCGCAAGAACTACGGGCCGTACCTTTTGCTCTTAGAGTCGGACAAGCTGGCGGCGCTCACACTCCAGTGCGTGCTGAACGCGTTTCTGATGCCGGACGGCAGAGGGGGCAGCAGCCACGACGGGCACTCAGCCAGGGACCAGAGGTGAGCAACAGAGTGGCACTGTTTTTACGTACTTGGCAGGGCGTTCAAACGGTATCTTCATGAAAAGTACGACGTGAGCCTGTGAGAAATTTGATAAAGTTGTATTACGGTCTTGGCCGGGCGTTTGATTGTTCTATTTCTGAAAGAAGTGGGTGAGTGTGTGAGGACAGGGAGAACATGGGAATTGGGAAGTGCGATGACCTTTCTGCTGCTCTTTAAAACTTATGCGGTGCAACGAAGGGGGGCATCTACAAAGTGGGTCTCTGAGCCCGGGAGAACGGGCCTAGCCTTTCAATACGAATGCTCATGCTTGGATTCGATGATTGACATCCGGATTTTCTGACCTGATGAATTGACAAGCAAGCATTACGTCCTCATCGTCTTCGCAAAAGTGAGTGAGGATATAGTGTTTGTGTACTGCACGATCTGGTCTGACTGTTCACCCCTCATTGTGCAAGCTTGTCCGCCCCTCGTGAAAGAGATTTTCCGGCCGTTTTAAAAGGGTCTAGATTTACTTGCTCATAGCCTGACATGAATTTTCGGCTAACCACCACGACTGTCTCCTGCAGGCACCGTCTTGCGGAGAAGGGCTGGGTTAAGGTGGTGACCGTGGTTATGGACCTGGGTCAGGCGGTGGAGACGGAGTCCAACCTGGCGCGCATGGTGCACTTGTACCAATTGCGGCAGCGGCAGACAAAGCGGAAAAAGAAAGAGTTGGAACAGAAGCTAAAAATGGCTGCGGCTGGATTTGCCGACGAGGAGGGCAGTGAGTCGAGTACGGAGGTTGAGGCACAGGGAAGGGCCGAGGGGGGCGAAGAATCAAGCGCGGAGGCGAGCCCGTTGGCGGAGGAGATCCTCATGCAGTTGGAGGAACTGGCGGCAGAAGGCACATCGAAGGACAAGCAGAGACGGAGGGAGGCGCGGGCAGGCGTGGAGGCTGTCATGCGGGTCTACTTTCCGGATCAGTTTACTCTGGAGGCGACGAAGCAAGGGTGAGAAACGTCCAGCTTCGTTGCTACACGTATGTCTGCGGGTCGAGGCGGCTTACTGTGTGGCTCACAAAATCTCGCTGACGACATGAGGAGGTGTTGACATCGTGTTTGAGAGACCTAGTGTTTGAGAGATAATCAGGCAGGAAAAACGTAATGCATCGAATGTATCGGTATTTTCAGGGACAGGTGGTTGCTTTTGTTCAAACTCGTGGGAATGCCCGGCGGTCTGGGTCCCGGTCACTGATAGCCATGTCAATCTTCTCCTGTAATGCATCTTGTGGCGACCGAGGCCGTACTGACGTTTCTGGAGACAAATTTCAAAGGGAATGAACAGAAACGAGGATCAATGACAACGATGCCTAAATTCAAATACTGACAACGGCTTCCATTGCAGGTATCGCATGTTGCCTATGAAGGAACTCATGCAACCGGGGTCGAAGCACAGGATTAACTATCACGCAAGGCAAGCGATCGAGAGCAACACGGACTGGGGCGCCGACGTGCATGCGAAAGTGGGGGCGGCGCTCCTTCAAATCTTTCTGCAGGCGACAGAAGTGGCGCCGGTAAGCGCGGATTGCAGATCTGGGAGTGCGTGGTCATCTTTTCTGTCTCGAACAATCAGACCAGTCTATGTTGAAACAGTTTGTGTAACCAATCGGTTGGCGGCAAACTGATTGACAACTCTTCATGCTCCAGTCTAATCATGTCACATGATCGTCCATCTTTCGAAAGTACACTTTGATCCTTTCAATCGTGTTACATCGTGTTGCGGATTAGCGTAAGTTGGTGTTAGTCGGGTGCAGATTGTAGATGAGTCAAAGCGCTGCTGCATTCTCGGATACCGTGCGATCACTTCTGTTGACACATCTTACGACAAGCCTAGCGCGCAACAACTATTTGAAGGATAATCCGGCAAGCATGAAACGGGTTTCAGACAAGTATGCGCCATGCCTTACAAATCTACTTCCTGTATAGATTGTCATGTCTCTGACGTCAGATCAAATGCCGTTGCTTCACGTGTGCAGTCCGTCTTCGAGCCTAGGAATCCGCCCAACGCCAAGCTCCTGAACGCGATCGAGAAGGGCGAGGTCGATGGCGTCTCTCCCAAAGACACGCCCCTCCTCTACGAGAACGCCCGCACATTTGATCAGGACTTCCAATGGAACGAAGCTATAGACAAGTCAAAATTGCTTACCGAGACTGCGCCCCGGCTAGACGATACCGCGAGCGCCTTGCCGGATCCGGCGCAGACAATCGCGGCTGCGCCTTCGGAAGATGTCGCGGAAAGTGCAACGGTTCTTGACTCGACGGAAACGGCAATCCAGGAAACAATGCGTGAGATGGAAGAGCGGTCGGAACAGGATAAGGAGCGACGGAGGCTGTCTGCGGAAGCGGAGACGTCGCAAGGGGGCGCGACGAAGGCGAAGAAGAAGAGGCGGGGGCGGAGCGGGCAGAGGGCAGCGGAGCTTGCGGCGAGCGGTGACGCGGCGGCGGAGGTTTCCGGAACGGAAAAGGCGCAGGGAAAGGCGAAGCCCGGGAGTTCGCTCGCGAGCTTGGTGCGGATGAGCGCGAGCAACGCCATTGGAGATGCGGTCTTGGCTCCGATCGTGGCCGCGGTTAACAGTAACCTCATCCAGACCCTCGACGCGCACGTGAGGAGCGCGCCGGCGAGTGCGGAGCCCGTCCCGATTGGCGCGGAAGCTGCGGAACTGCCGGTCGAAGAGGAGACGCGTGCGGCGATGCTCGAGGCGGCGATCCGGAAGTTTGGGCCCGAGTGGGGGCATTTGAGCGTGCCGAAGAAGGGGAAGCAGCAGTTCCGGATCCCGGCGTTCCGGCACACGCTGCGGATGCTGAAAGGCAGCCGGGGGGGGCCGGTGCATAAGTGCGGGGTGCTGGAAGTTCATCCGGCGATCCTCGAGAAGCTGAGCCAGGAGACCGCGGCGCTTGCGGACCGGTTCCCGAGACACATGCCGATGCTCGTGCCGCCCAAGCCGTGGACCAGGTGAGGGTTAAGGAGGAGGTTAGGGCGGGTTTCGGGAGGCAAGGGAGTTTCAGCGGTTGTACGGGGCGAAAGTCGAAAGTGGACTTCAAGAGGTCATCAGATGTTGGGGGGAATTGGTTAGGAAGTTGGGAAGTCAATTGTAGCACAGGAGGTTCGTAATTTAGAATCAAAGTGCAGGGTAATAACGAGCGGTTGGTTCAGCTTCGTGTTTTGAAAAGCCAATTCGTTGAGAGTAGGTTGAAGGTTGTTGCCAGGAGGGCCGAGGTAAAGAACGCACGTGCCCATGTCACGAGAGAGAAAAGCCAAGGCGTTGCCTACATTGCCGGCAACAATCTCTTTGTTTACTTTTTCATATGTATATTGACTGTTTATCTATTTTCTCTGCAGTCACAATCGGGGGGGCCAGCTTCTCCTTCGGAACCTGGTCATGCGCACCCGGGGTTCGCGCATGCAGCTCGAGGCGCTGCGCAAAGCCCAAAGGCTCTCCCCCGAAAGGATCCCCCGCATGCAACCTGTCTTCGATGCTCTCAACGCGCTGGGCATCGTTCCCTGGAAAATCAACGCCCCCGTATCGCGAGTGGTTGAACAAGTCTGGGAGTTGTGTGAGCACGAGGGGGCAACGGCGGGCCTGCCTCGACGAGTGCTGGACCCCCTGCCGAAGAAACCGGAGGGGGAGGATGCGACGGATAAGACGATCTGGCGGGAATACAAGCGGGCGCTGGCAAAGGTGCGTCTCAGCGGGTTACGTTTTCGGTTCGACAATGGAACAATTAACATGCGACCAGTTTCTTGTTTCCCATCCCCGCCTTGCTCGACGCTGTCCAATTTTTTGACGTCACCTCGCCTCCTAACGTCGTGACTTCCTGCTGGCCCCCACCCACCCTTGGAAGCGCCAGGCCAAGAGCGAAACGCAACGCCCACCGCTTCATTAAACGGCAGCCAACGTCCTGCTCTGCTGACGTCACCTTAGTCGCGCTTTGCGGCAGGGTGAACAGGGGACATGGTATCGCGGCTCGGAGAATTGGACGTTGAACCCGACTTGAAAAGCCCCGCTACTTCTATTGTGCCATCCGATGTCCTGACGTCATCTCGACTTAAGGACGTCATTTGACTTGAAATTCTCTCTACCGCCCTCCCCGCCTTCCAGGTGCGGCAGGCAGACAGTAAGACTGTGTCGCAGCGAGGGGACATGATTCTGAAGCTGACGTGAATTCTCCATCACTTCTTCAATGCCATCCGACGTCCTGTCGTCACCTCGCCTGTCTGTCGTCATCTGACCCACAATCCTATTCAACCCGCCCCCGTTTCCATGTGTGGCAGGCCAACAGCGAGACGCTGTTGCGTTGCGTAGATTTGACTCTCAAACTGACATGAAGACACCCCTCCACTTCTCTCCGGGCTGTCCAACGTCCTGACGTCACTTCGCCTCGCTGACGTCATCTCCTGACGATCCCCCCCTACCACGTGCGGCAGGCGGTATCGCAGTGCAAAGGACATGAAGCTGAAGCTTGCTTGAAAACTCCCACCGACTTTATCAGTGCTAGCCGACCTCCTGACGCCACCTCGAACTTGCTGACGTCATCTGACTCACGATTTCCCCCCCCCTCTCCTTCTTCCAGGTGAAGCAGGCCAACAGCGAGACGGTGTCGCAGCGCGGGGACATGATTCTGAAGCTGAGCACGATGCGGCAGCTGCGCGACGAGGAGCGCTTCTTCTTCCCGCACACGCTCGACTTCCGGGGGCGCGCCTACCCCATTCACCCTTACCTCAACCACCTCGGAGCAGACGTCTGCCGGGGCATGCTCATGGTGGGTCTAATACACTCTTCTCCATTCTTCCGTCTGTTGATGTGGTTAGCTTTCCGCTCTTTTGCTTAACAGCATGAAGATCACACTGCCGCATTGTATCTGTTCTTTTATTGACGCGTTGTTGCCTACCCCACCCGCACCTCAACCACCTAGGAGCCGAAGTGTGTCGCGGCACGCTCATGGTAGGTCTCCACTTGTCCTTTTCTTCTGTTTGTTGTTCATGTTAGTCGTCTGCTCTCTTTGCTTACCAGCTTGAAATTACCCTGCTGCATTGTGCCTGTTTCTTTCTTTTCTTGCCTACCCCGTCCACCCGCACCTGAACCACCTCGGGAGCGACGTCTGCCAGGGCATGCTCATGGTGGATCTGAGCACACACTTCCCCGTTTTTCCACCTCTTGATACTTCTAGCCTTCTGTTCTCTCCCCTTACCTCTCGGATTGTCGCCGTTGGACGGGAACTGAACCATTCAAAGAAGCTTGCGATTCACGTTCGGGTACTCCCTCTGCAGTTTGCGGATGGCCGCCCTCTCGGGGAGCGCGGCCTGCGCTTCGCTCAAGAATAGAACATATTGAGGGGCAATTCGAAATGTTTCACGCTTCTGTTCTCCGGATCGGCGTTGGACTGGAATTGAAGAACTAAAAAGAGATTAACTTACGTTTTGCTACACCCTTTACGGTTTGCGGACGGCCGCCTTCTCGGGGAGCGCGGTCTGCGGTGGCTCAAGATCAGTACCATGACGGGTATTTTCCAAATTTTCCCCGCTCAACATCGCCGTTGAACTGGAGTGGATTGATCAAAAGGTTTGCGACTCACTTCATTTACGCCCTCTGCAGTTTGCGGACGGCCGCCCTCTTGGGGAGCGCGGCCTGCGGTGGCTCAAGATCCACCTCGCGAACCTGGTGGGCAACAGCGTCGACAAGCTGTCCTTCGACGAGCGGGAAAAGTACTGCGACGAACACATGGCCGAGGTTAGGCGGCAGCCTCTTCCTTGCAAAGTGGATTTAGATGCTTTGCATGGACGGACGTGCACTCCGAGTTTTTATCGTGAATCGATGGTTTGTTGCTGTTCTTGAGTTGACAATGCGAATTGGTCCCACCGTGACGTTTGCTTTGCGTCAACTGGTATTGTTCGCCCCAGGTTCTTGTTGCTTCGCTACTCTGTGGCAATTTGGAGGTGCTTGGGTGCCTCTTGTATTTGTCCGTCCTTGTTTCGACTCGCTCTTGATGGGCCTCACGAAACCTCGCCAGATACTCCAGCACACATTCGCTCGCCCGCCAAGTATGACCCTACCAATCCTTTGAGGCGTTGAAAGAGCTTTCCTCACATCAGTCATACCCGAATTCATACACTGCATAAATTGCGCTTTCGACGGGTAAAACTTGACCAAGTTCTTATTCGATTTCGCTCTTCCCCTTTCCAGATCATGGGCTCTGACGGGTCCTTCTGAATCCTTTCCTAACCATCATTCGCTCTTCCCCTCATCAGATCATGGACTCCGCAGACCGGCCCATGGCGGGCAACCGGTGGTGGATGAAAGCAGAGGACCCCTTCCAAGCCCTTGCCACGTGCATGGAGATCACGAAAGCCGTCCGAAGCGGCGATCCCCCGTCATATGTCTGCGCGCTCGCAGTGCATCAGGACGGCTCCTGCAACGGTTTGCAGCACTATGCGGCGCTCGGCAAAGACATCCGGGGGGCGGAGCACGTCAACATGCTGGCGATGGATAAGCCGGCGGACGTGTACACCGGGATTGCAGATACCGTCCGGGAGAAGGTAGGTTACGACAACCCCCAGTTTTTAATTTACGAAACCCGATGCTTGAACTGTCAGAAGACGGTCAAGACCGGCGAGCGGTAATGATGACGTGCTATGCTGAACATGCGGGCGAAGGGTTTGTGCTAGACCCACGGAAGATGGTTAGGCGCCAACGGACAAGTCCAAGTAAACTCAGCACAAATTGACTCTTTTGTAAGCAGGAATGCCAGAGCTGCAATCTAGTCCTTTGAAAAGTTTTTCGTTGCACCTACGGTTGACCTTCGTTCTTAGCTCAGCTTAGACCTTGCTAGTCGTATAGACCGAAAGATGAGTAAAGAGATTGTCATTCTGGAAAAATGAATACTCTGTATCCGTTCTTTCGTCAAAGTCTAGTGTACTTGTTGTCCTAAAACCGGTGTGCCACTGCCAGGTTGAAGCGGACGCAGCGAAGGGCCGCCACGTGGCGCTGGCTCTGCGTGACCACGTGGACCGCAAGTTGGTGAAGCAGACGGTGATGACGTCAGTTTACGGCGTGACATTCATTGGGGCGCGGCAGCAGATCCGGAACCGGCTCAAGGAGAAAGGGGTCACGGAAGACGATCAACTGCTGTTCCAGCTAACCATGTATGCGACCAAAGTCACGCTGGCGTCGCTAGGGGAGATCTTCAATTCAGCTAGGTGAGGAACTTGAAGAGCGGCGAGGAACTAGAAGAGTGGCTCTCGTCTATCAGGGATTGGAGATAGCGAGGTTTTGGAGGAAGCCTGAGTGTCGGTAGCGGGGACTACAGCTTAGTGCGAGCAGCGTGCTAGTTTGAGTCAACCTGGGCATCTATCCCACACGTCAACAGATTCGATTTATCAACCTGAGTTTCTACTAAAGTTGGCAGGTCGCTGGGAACGTAACGCACTTTTCCTCAAAACATGAATTGCCCCCTCGCTCCTGCCCGCTTCGAATCTGACCTCCGGTCGTTGCATACTTCGCACCTACTCTCGCTCCTTGTGCAGCGATTTAGCCTTCGATGCCGAATGTCGTCCACTTTCTTTGTTTCTTTCGACCTTGCAGTCCGTTCGCTCTAACCAACCCGCACGACCTCCCCTTTTGTTGCCCGTAACTTCTGCTGACGTCCATTCATTCATTCAATGAAATCCCTCACTGATCACGTCGGCCCTTGCTGACGTCCTCTTCTGACGTCATATGCAGGGCCATCATGTCGTGGCTGGGCCACTGCGCCGTCATCATCTCGGGCAGGCTGCCCGAGGGCTGTGACGACGCCGTCATGTGGACCACGCCGCTGGGGCTGCCCGTCGTGCAGCCGTACAAGAAGCGGTCCAAGAAGATTGTACAGACCGTCTTGCAGGTGAAGATCTCGCTTTGATTGTCGAGGTCCGTCAGGTTCTGGCTCGTGAAACAACCCTCTTGCACTTGAAGGACTTGCTTTCACCTTTGAGCTCCGCCAGAATCTGGGCTCGTAGAATTTAAATGACAAGACGATTTTAGACGACCTAAAAGAGAAAGAAGCTGTAGCTTGAGGGCGAAAGAGGGCCGGGTTTGGAAGCTCCCCGGATCGGAAATCCAGAGGCTGTAACAAGTTCTGCTGGAGGATGTTGGTTGCCCACCCAGTTCGGCCCAACAATCCTCGTTATCTTTCGACAGGATTTGGAAGAGGCTCATTAAGCTAAGTCCGGCCATAGCTGCGGTAGCAGTCAAGAGGTTTCACGGAGCCGCATCCTCTTCCGTTTTGCAGAGCGTTTTTCTAGAAGACGAGCAGGAGGCAGACAAGGTGCACCCGCTCAAGCAGAGGACCGCGTTCGCGCCCAACTACGTGCACTCCCTGGACGCGACCCACATGATGATGACTGCAATTGCGTGCCGCAAGGCGGGGCTGTGCTTCGCGGGCGTGCACGACTCTTACTGGACGCATGCGGGCGACGTCGAGCGGATGAACGAGATCCTGCGGGAGAAGTTCATCGAGTTGCACAGCCAGCCGCTGCTAGAGAACCTGCTGGCGGAGTTTCGGGAGATGTACCCGGAGACGGACTTCCCGCCGGTGCCGATCCGGGGGGAGTTTGATGTGCGGAGCGTGCGGGATGCGCCGTACTTTTTTGACTAGACGCGGAAGAACGAGGGGGAGCCCTTTAGGACGTACAGAATCAAGAAAAGTCAAAAGTTGAGGTAGAGTGTACATACTGAGGCGGTTATTTGTCGGCGGGCCAATTTATCTATGTTAAGCTAGGGTCGGTCCTTCTGATAGCAAGTGGCACATGGACGAAATGTCGGTACTTCACGATCTGTCAAGCCCGGCTATGTAGCCGGCATGCACCTGCGTTCAGTATCCGCCACCATTTAAGGATTTTGCGAGTGCATGGTGCCTTCAGACGCAAAACTTTTATTCAACAGCTCTTGCAGTAAGCAAGCCAGAGTCCGGATCCTTCGCTTCAATTGAGAAAAGCTGTTTGACCGTTTGATGCTGAGAAATACATGCATTTTGTTCGATTATGGTAGCGTCAACATGTGCGCTGAGGTCTTCCAACTCGGACCAGCACTTATGCACCTATATACTATAGCCCAGTCGTGGGCCCCCAAGTGCATATGCTTGCATGACGTTTCATGCATGCATTCGGGGCTGCAACGGACAATTCTGCGTGCATGCAAAGCTATATACCTGCTGACCCCGGCCCTAGATCGCGAATTAGTCCCTTGCAGTTTCTCCGTACATTGTGCTATCTTTATATGTATGATTTGAAATAGCGCCACTTAATTGATAATCGATCACGGTACTACTAGCCAGTGCATGGTTTCAAGGGTGCGGGCCGCACGCAATCAAAAAATTTCATGGTGCATAATATCATGTGCGCCGTGGCAACCATGCATGATATATAAGCGCAATATATTCAAATTTCAAATTGCAGCGCCGCGAGCATGCACATGCATGATGTAATCATGTTCTTGGTTGATTCGTTATACGCATGAGTCACAAGCTCTAACGAGCTGTGCGTGCTTAATTGATAGCAGACATACAACATGAGCTTATGCACTTTGGCCAGCACCGTTGAATGACTGGCACGTATGCACGGACCGGAAATCGACCATGTAACATTGCCGACCCAAAGGGCGAGGTGCATGACGCCTTTGGTTCGCGTTTAGAGCGGATAATCAACTTCTGGTCTTCAATGTAAGTTAGCATCTTGCAACGTGCATAACTTCGAGCTCGTTAAAATGCTCGTACTGAACAAAGCCTCTGGCACGGAGTGCCTGAAACTGTACAAAGACTTTATTTTACATCATTTTGTCGATTGGATTTGAAATGGGGCTAAGCGCTGCGAGCTCACGTTCCAGATGATCTAGGTCAACGCCGAGAGTGTAGAGCCTCGGCTTTCCTTAAAAGCTCGAAACACGCATGAATTCTGATAACTCGTATGTGGGGAGTGACCGGTTTCTGATACTCAGAGATGCTTCACGCTGCTGCCTTCATGTTGCGGTGCAGACTGGCTGATTTCGAGCGCATTCTCATCGGGGTCCCGACAAAAGAGGGCGGGCCGGCCAGACTTGCTCATTGTGTACCGAATCCCTGGACAAGGAAGAGAGTAATCAGCGAAAGTCAGCTGCTTATCCCGATCGGCGAGGCAGGATCCAAAACAGGCTTCAACAGGAAACAATTTCAGCGCAGGCTCTTACTTCGGAACAATGCATGAGGAAGACTTTCCCTTGGGCCGCATTGCGAGACGACTTCGGGGGTAGTTGATCTAATGTTTAACTGGCCAGAATTAACACTCTGATCAACATCACGTGCGCAATATTTTTTGCCGGCATGTAAGTCCGCTTACCCTTATTGTCGAGGACCTTCTTTACAGGCTCAAGGTCCACAACGCTGATGCAAGTATGCCTGCGCGAAAAATGCTTTGAGTGAGGAACTTCAAGTAATCTGGAGTCGTCTGCTTCCACATTCCGCCGGGAGCGTTGGGCGTCTGTGAGTCAGCTGATTACCCAGGTATGGAAAGTTGAGGTGCAGGTCAAGAAGGGGCCATCAAGGAAACGATGGCCCCGTCTTGGCCAAAAACAACTGACTGGAATCCAGAGACGCCACAGACCTGCAACAGGCTGCAACGCATGTACGTATCAAAGCTAAAATGTCTTTTCTGAGCCGAACCCCAACGGCTTCAGAACCAACTGAAATGCATCGAAGTCGAAGAGCAAAGTGCAAGCGAGATAAAAAGCAAGATGCGAAGGAAGACTGAAAGCAAGCCTTCGAATGTTTAGAAAGGCACCCGAAGGCAGACGCAAGATGAGATTACGGAACAACGGCCTTGCCGAATCCAGAAGCCAGAGAAACACGCAGGAACACTGCATTTGAGCCCCTGCTCACCGGTCGCGGCCGCCGTGCTCCGGCCGCCCTTCCAGGGGGTCCGGGTTTGGCAGCTCCATGAGGTGGATCATCTCGGCCCCCACCCAAAGCCACGCGCCCTTGTACGGCAGCTTGTCATCAGGGCGCTCCTTGTTCAAATGCAGGCCTGCGAGAGGGACGAGGCCGACATAAAATGGATAGTTGGCTCAGTCCAACAATCTTTTCTGTCTCTGAACGTCGAGACGATTCCATTTTGGTGCAACGACTTCGTCCTGGCTTTAGTACGAACCACAGTCACTCAACGAGTAGTCTGCGCAATCAGACATGGTTATCTAACTCTCAGCGTTTCGTGAGGCCTCCTTTCTGATGACAAACGTGAGACTCGACTTTGATAGAAGAAGGGTCACTCAAGCGTTTGTAAGGGAAACAGATGGAAGTGGAAACCTTCTGATCAGAGACTGGGGCAAGGCAACAGAGTCAAGTTCGCGCCACAGCCCAATCGGGTTCTGTGCTTCTGCGATCAGGTTGTTTCTCCTGTCGAGCAATCACGGGATGGTTAACAATGAAAATCACTGGATTGTTGTTCTGTGCAACCTTCTGAGCCACTCGACTGTCGTTTCATCAGAAGCGGCCAAGGTGTTTGACAACGGCGGAGCCAGTAACAGCCATTCGATAACATACACGATCCCTAAACGAAGGCCTACATGCACTGAATGTCTCACCTAGCGTCCCCATGTAAAAGTCGAGGGCCCTGTCAGTGTCCTTGACGAGGAGACCCACGTGGTGGAGCCCAATGTAGTCGATGCCTACATGCAGGCGATTCACTTAGGACTTGATTCAAAATCCAGCAAACTCGTTAGAATCACATGGTACTACTGTAGTGTCAACCGCAACATTTTTCCCTGTCAGGCTGTTGGAGAGTGTTTCATATGGGACCTGGGCTGGTGCAAAGACACGAGCAGGCCAGTCAACGACATTTGCAGGCCGTTTAGAAGGTCAAATGTACACTCCTCCGTGACAGAACAGCATTTCGAGGTCGTTTCAGGGGTTGGGTGGTGCCAGCCCCTTGTGCCTGAAAGGAGCTGTCCTTTCTTCAAAAACCATGCTGCGCCCCAACATACCACAACCTATGAAAGCAGGCATCCACTCTTTATTTCTGAGGCAATGTTCGCTCCTCTTCAGCTGGCTCCTCCTCCAGCAAAGATAATCCTGTAGTCCCTCCTAACCGATCAGTAGTTCTGTCAAGATGGTGAAGGCCCAGGAATCATGTGTCTGAGCCAGCTGGAGGTAGACTGCGTACCAGTCTCAGCAACTGCTGGTGTTTCTGTGGCTGTCTCTGCACTGGCTGCAGCCCTGCATGTCCACCGAGTCCCGCCCGCTTGTTTCAACGCAGGGGCAGTCTTAGGGAGGTGACACCGCCGCTTGAGCAAGCGTACTTGACTCTTTAAGCTCGAGGATGCATTGAGGCAAGGCAATCGGGCGAAGCAGGGTTGTGAGTAACAGGCGGGGCCGTCTAGCTGGGCCGCTTGGCAGGGCTGCAAAGATATCAACAGAAACATTCTCAATCAGTTGGCCACGAGGTGCAAGGTGACACAATTGCCTATACATTCCACTACAGAAATGCGGTCGATTTCCCAGCATGATTGTCTTGGTCTTTGAGGTCTGTGATGGACCAAGTTTGTTTTCTCTTAAGAGCAGAAAACAAGGTCTGATCATACTTTCATGTTGAGCGACCTTCTAAACTTTCATGGCTGAGACTTTTATGTACTCCATGAATATGGAGGCAAAGTTCTGCACGGCAGTCCCCTTATAAGGGGGCAGGAAACGTTTGGTCGGCTCTACTCAACTTTCACAGACTCTCAAAAAGCAGTGAAAAGCGAATGACAAGGATTTGGATTTTGCGGGGGCGTCTTGTATTCACAGCGTAGAAGGCAAGATAAAGTGACAGATTCACAGCATGATAAATTTCTGCTTTCAATGTGTATCTCTTCTCTGAGACGCACCATTTCAATTCTACAGTGAGTACAGATTAATAGTCGGTCAACTGCCAGACTGCAAGGAGTTTTCAATGGGGACATGCATTCATCACAAAAAGTAACACTGATCCTTGTCAATTGAGGCGCCGCCGCACCAGAAATCAACAGCAATTAATCCCAACTCACCATGCGCAAAGCTGAGAGAGCTTCCGAGCGGGGCATCAATTGGGCACTCGCCATCCGACTCTTCTGAAGTGCACACGAATGCTATGCGCTGGATCCTCTTTTTGAGATGAAAAGACGGCTCCTTCTATCAGACCTATCCCCCTTCGTTTACTTCCACTAGCCGGCCTTTCAAAGTCAGTTGCTTCTCGAGTTTTGGCAACTGATTGACACTTCAAACTTCTCAAGTTCAAAGTTCAGTCTGATGCAGTGTGAGCTGGAATTCCGCCCTAGCAAGTTGCTCCAACTTCAAGTCCAACTTCAAGACAATTTCGTCACTGTTGACATCTCTACTTGAAGTTGAAGTTGGAACTTGAAGGGTGAGGAAGAGCGCTGCACAGCATTCTTTCTGAGTTTCTCATCAAACTCCATTGACATTGTGACGGTATAAAAGAGTTCATTGTGGCCGCATTGGCATTGCCACTGGCATGTGGCCCCGGTTCCATAGAGCTGCAAGCATTGACGTCGGAAATAGTCCATCATTGTGGCAGGGGCCCCTCCGTCTTGGCGCTTCGCTTCTTGACAGCTCTGTGGTCAAAAATCAATTACATTCTAGAAGTCGTAGACCAGTCTGCGAGGATCTAGTCAGGAAGTCTTTTCAGAAGCGTGTCCAAGTTGGGAAGCTTTCTCATCGAAAAATTCAATCAATGGCGAGCTCGCCAATGGATGAGAGCCAAACTGCTTCAACAAGCACTAGTCAATCCGTGGGCAGTCTGGTCAACTTTCTGACATTGATTCAGAGTTTGAAGGTGAGAACTCGATCTCTTTGAGATACAAAGAAAGCCTCAACTGTCCAGTCTGCTCTCAGTTGCCTTGGTGGTACTAAGAAAGTGGTTAAGGGTCCTTCATAATTTGGTGCAAGTTCATGCAACCTTAGTCCTGAAGACATGACAACATGCAGGTTCACACAGGAATAAAAGTGTGTTGACAGTTGTACACTTCAAGGGAAACAACACCACCTTTCACAAAAGGACCACGGGGTGACACTTTTACTCACAAGGCTTCACAAACAATCCTGTCTTTCCGTCCCTCAATCTGGAAGCGTGCGTGGTGCATTCATGCATTTGTATGTACTTAGAGCGATGTATGTACTCACACTACTGTCCAGCAGCATGGATTCTCAGAGCAATTCTTGATGACCTTTTAAATGGTGTTTGCTGCAGACTACCAAACGCACCGGATGGATCAATCATGGGGTCGCAGGCCCCGAATCCATTGCGGACCACATGTACCGTATGGCGATGATGGCATTCATGATTGACCCCAAAGATGCGGCCGTTGACAGGGACCGCTGCATACGGATGGCGATTGTGCATGATGTTGCAGAAGGTTGGTCTGCGCTCTATCTTGAGTAAGAGATATCAATGTGCTCATACTAAGAAGCTTAATGGACACTATGTAGTTGAGTATCATGACGCCGTGTTGGCCTTTCAAGATCTGAACGGTGTCAATCTAAGAGTCTGAATAGACTAGAATGCTGACAAGCTGACACAGGTTGATGAAAGCAGGACAAACTCCGCACATGGTGTTGCTGAAAGGCTAATCAAGCAGCGGTTGATAAAGTAACTCCTGTTCTATTGACCTGATTATAAAGAAAATTTCAACAAGTTTCTTTCAAAAGCACCCATAGGTATCATCGCAACTGATTCGATTTGCTCTGCTTCTCTCAGCGCTTGTTGGTGACATCACACCAGATGACGGAATCAGCAAGGAAGAGAAGAACAGGAGGGAGGCGGCGGCGATGGAACACATGTGCTTGCTCCTGGGCGAGACACCACAAGGTACAACTACCTATTCCACATTCCTCAAAGATGTCCCTGCAGCGCCTGTGCTCGCTTCTTGGTTCAAGTGTACTCTGGGTTTTCATACTGAGACGAATCAAAGCAGCCTCTGTAGATATAAGTGGCGGTTGGACGAAATGAGAGTTAGCTAGCTAAGAATCTGGTTTTGTCATACTGTTGTTTTGTATGGTCCGCTCTGGGTCTGACGTTGTCTGAATTGGTCAGTACATCATCACTTTCCAGCGGATCACTGGGAAGAGCAGTATAACCACCGTCGCTACTGTAGAAAGTGCATTTTCTCAAATATCCGAGACCCTACCTTGTTAACCCCTCAGCGGACACTGGTTTACTGCAGCACAAGAGATGCGAGATCTGTGGCTTGAGTACGATGCGGCGTCAACTCTTGAAGCCAAACTCGTCAAGGACTTCGACAAGGTGAGCAGCTTCACGCAGCCATCGCCGTTTGATTCAGATCTGATGACGTAGTTGTCGCCAAGAAATCGACAGTTGACATTCAACTACGCTTGCGGCAAAGAGTAAAACACGTTGGACTCGAGAAGCGATGTAATGAAGTACACTCCACAGCCTGCGACTTCACTGATTGTTCTTCACAAACAAAAGACACTTCGCATACGTGTTGACCTGTTGAATGTTGTAGAGCATCAAACCTCAGTTGCAGTGTGTGGATTATCGGAGTCTGTATCTTCCAATTCAGACCTCCGTTGCGCACGTTAGGCAAGTCTGATGTGACCCCGTTTGGTTCCCGCCTCCACACAGGTAGGTCCAGGTTCGTACCACCAATCTGCATATTGGTTTATGCATACGTAATGACGTGCCTTGTGTTTGCGGCTTTCCAAGCCGATATTTCTTACGCCCTGCCTTTCCAACTTCCTTCCAGTTGGAGATGATCCTGCAAGCTCAAGAATACGAAGCATCTCAAGGGAAAGTGCTTGACGACTTCTTTGTAGCCGCAGGTGAGACCAGAATTCCTGACTTTTAGTGCTCTTCCTCATTTTATCTTGCATTTGATGTAGAAGTAGTAAAAAATGAAGCTAGTTGAGGCCACATTCGCAAAGAGCATGGAAGATTTTGACGTTCACCCGTAAATGGACCCATTAGCTACTTCACTCTTGACTGCGGACCGTGTCCTAATTCGTCTTTTCGGAGGTACTCGTTCCAGGTTTCCTGTGCCATGTCCCTGCTCGTAACATGTGTCAGTCACTACAAGTGCGGTCATTGAAGACCAGATTGGGCTACTCATCAATCGAACCAGTGGTATATTTGAATTTTCTTTTTCAAATAGGGCCTGCCTCATCAAAAGGCGGATCACGAGATCCAACAGTGATTCGTTCTTCTTCACACGATCTTGCAGGGAGGATTCAGACGGACATTGGAAAGAAGCTTGCCGACGAGATTGTGGTTCGACGGCCTAACAAAAGGTAGAGCTTCTTCGACAACCGTGTGTTCAAATCTTCGGTTTTCACATGCTTGTATCTAGCCTTGATCGTCGTTGTGAGATTTGAATTGGAAGATTTTGGAGGACCTCGGAGCTCCTGCTACTTTCGCAAGTATTGCGGTGGGAGCGCCCACCGCTATGCACTCGTCAATTGATTCAAGAAAAGAAGCCCTCGCACCCCGTAGATTGATCACATCCCTTGCATGACGCGAGATATCTGGTACTAAATTGCATGTCCCCATGACTGCCACCAAGTTATGTGGCGCTTGTACTTTTGCAACTTTAATGAACTCTACAAATACACGTAGTATGCATTGGAAGTATGACTCCTATACAAACACATGACGGTATTAGCTCTCTGCTATTGCACCAAAAGCCAAAGATCACCTGACACTTGTTTAGGATGCCGTATGGAACATGTTGCAATCGCTTGATGACAAAACCAAGAAAACAGTAACCGCACCAACTTGACAGTACCAGCCCACAATCAAGAGTGGTTGTATCGAAGATGCATATATGAACCTGAAAAGTATGAATCCAAATGGCTACATGTTTCATGCATGCATGGCCGATTCTACCTGATTCTTTTGTTTGGGTACTGGTACGGTGGCTACAACCTGTTTGCACTGCTTTGCAGACCTCTCTGGACTCTGGAGTCTGGACTGAAGTTGAACTTGGAAAAGATTGCATAAGTTGGAATTCAAGCAGCCAATCAGCATGCGTCTTGAACGATTCTGCAACTCGGTGAGCCAATCAGGGGCAATGGCGTCACATACATGATGGTCTCTTTTCGTAACGCCGTAGCCAGTGCGGCCATAGGCTTCTCATGGCATACAATTGTTGTGTCTGAAGATGTCTGCTTCTCTATCAACTTACGACTAATCTGAGCCTACCGACACAATTACAAACACGAGGCCATGACGATCTGCCAATTCGAGCGCTGTCCGGGCCTTGTCTTCAACATTACTGAGGGCGTTTGTAGCTAACTTTTACGACGGATTTGTACAAAGCCTAGGCAACGGTTTGTAAGGATGGCCGGTCGGCGTAGACGAGTCGAAGTTGACCGTGTCACGAGGACCGTGCTGTGAACATCCAATATAAGATATGCAGAACACCGTCCGTTAAAAAACCCCTGCCCCGTACTTCGTAGCTTAGGGGATCTTTTCGTTTCAGAGGGGAAAAAGGTAACGGTGGAGTGCAGAATCTATACAGGACTTGAGCTGGGGCTTGAGCTTGAGCTTGACATTGGGCTTATATGATTTAACAAGCAACACATCATGATACTCGAAGGCATGCCAGAACCTTAAGGTAGAAGTATGGCATTCAACCGCCTTCAGAACCCTAGGTCACGTTTCTGGTCACGAAATGGTCCAAACCTAACCAAATCGAGTCGAGTTTTTTGCATTGGGTTCGGGACCCCAAGGGGGTCCTATGAGCCGGGTCTCGAGG